TATATAAAATTCTTGCATTTTAATGAAATCGAATGTTTTTAATTATTAATATAAACTGTACACTAGAGTAGCTTATGATATGAATCTAGAAGCAAATATCTATTTCATATTATGACTGAATGCTATATATCCATGGCGAGCAACAACGGGCCCGCGGGCCTGATCCGGCCCGCGAGACATTTTGAAAAAACCTAATTTATAATAACATTGTCGTATTATTTAATGTCTGATATCTACCGCAAAAAAATTATGAGCACTACAACACTACTTTATAATGTACTACTTTAAAGCACAGCCCGCGACCGTATTTGCACACTAAAGCTTGACCCACAACATGTCCAAGGTTGCCCATGCCTGCTTTATATGATAGTACGAGTATTGTTACCCCAGATTATCAACATAATTTTTAATATCATTACAACCGATAAAATTATTATACTACGTCCCCGGGCTAACAACACCTAGCTCGGAGGGAGACAATTATCCTTTAGTCTCCCTGACCAGTTGCCTCCATCACCACAGTAGGGACCACACATTCAACCTAACGGTTCCTATGCTCCAAATAACTTAACAAAAACCTTCTCATAAGTATTTACTGACTGGAGTTGGCGACACCTTGAATGTAGCGTACGAGTTACTGACTGAGTAACATTCAATGTGTCGCCAACTCTGTAGTCCTGTGTATTATTATATTTTCATAATTTCAGGTAACTCATTATACGACGGCTTTAGCTACCTATCTTCGAACCTGAACAGTAGCGCAAATGATACGGTTTTCGTTATTTTAAGAGTGACAAGAAAGTGTTCTTTGGCACTTCAGAGCTGTCAACGTCATTAGTATTATTTATTAATGATAATAACGAATTATATAATTTAACTTGTTTTTAATAATATAATAATTTGATTCAAATTTTGTAATGAATATAGTAATTATTATTCAATAAAATATTTACTAATAGATTTTATATTTCTCTATTTATTTTATTTATTTTCTATCTATAAAATATAATATTTAGGATGGTTTTAACTGATTTACATTGAAATTTAATCCTGGTTAGTTTCAGTACCGTGTTTGCGCTCACTCTTGGTTGCAGCTGAAAATCAGCGATTCGCTCGCATTGCATGCGCGTGAATACTTGACGCTAAGCTGGGACCATTGTGTACTGCTGTGACGCACACACACATTTTTTTTCGAATGTTCATTTGTCTCATCTACATACTTATTTATTTATTTTTCTGTTAAATGAAATGTAATGTGTGTATTTTGGCAAGAAATAAATCATTTAGCGACCTCTAGTAATTAGAGTAAAAACTGAAAATCAATGCTTTGCTCTTTGAGTAAATACTCACAGAGTTTTCGCCCATTTACATCGCTGCGGTACACATACTGATTGATTGTCTTGTTTTAGTAACATCTTGTTCTATTATTAATTATTTCTCTTTTTCAATCATTTATGGAATATTTTGTAAAATTTTGTGTGTGCATAATGCAAATAAAGAATTTATCTATCTATTTATCTAGTTTTGTTCATAATGTAACATTTTAAAAACCGTTCACGTTAAAGTAATATATTAAGCACTTCAATAAGAATACGTGATAAGTTATATTTTTAAATAATATAACCTGATAAAATTTATAAAGCTTTCTTATGGCTACGTCAACATAAAATATATATTTGTAAGTGTTTTTGTCATCTATAAAATTCCATCATTTATATGACAAAAACACTTACCGCACTCATAAGTGGCGATTTATTTGGACTCGATAAAGACTTCTCTGTAACATTCACTCATCCTCTTACCAACTTTTTGATTAATCAGGTGACATACGATGTGGCTTATCGGCAAAAGTTTCCCAAAAGTTGTGTATTCCCAATGTAATATCGATGTTCAGTGACTAACTAAACTTTCTGAATAATCTGTATTTAAGCCAACTAATTAACTTTTCTGTGAGTGTTGTGACTACCTAAGTAGCTTACAAAATGCTGATTTATGATTTCGTCGTCATTTACTAAATTACTATTTTTACCTTAAGCGATTCCTAAATATTTAGACGACTCACAAGTTTAGTGAAAACAGGCATATGATTGTAAGAGTCCAGACTTTACTTAATTTTATTACACAAAATGTTTTAGATATGGTAGTATTAGTATATAGTTAGATCGTATTCCTATCTGCTAGCTTAATACTGATAAAGGCAAATAAACAGACTAATTCCCTTTTTAAATCGTAATGACTCATTTAAGTCTTTGTTAGAAAATATTGTTAAAAATCTGTCATTAGTACTTCCAGACACTTTCCACCATAAGACCTGAGACGTTGATCATGTGGTGCAGACGAGCTACTGCCATTATGTATTCTTAATGACAGTAGCGCAATAGTTATTGCAAGTCACGTGAAGAAGAATAGCTCGGTGGTCTAGTGGATAAGCGCCGGGTCCGTTGTTGATAAGCAACTTTCGTAAGGATTGGTCTCGGTATATGTCAAGTTATTATCTCGATCTACTCTGTGCTTTGGAAGGTACGTTAAGCCGTTGGTTCCGGGTACATTTGCAGTTGTAATACCCTCCAATCCGCAATGACCCAACATGGAAGGTTATGGCCCAACATCCCTAACCATCCTAAGCCCCTGCAGTGGAGACGTCAAAGGGTTGATGATGAAGTCATGTTCAGTTGTCACACGTATGGGTACCAATCGCGCGACTTTAAAATTACTTCACTAACGCCACTAAAACGCCTCTATGTCGAAGCAGTTTTACTCTAGTTCACTACTTTTTCTAATTTTATAAATACTAAGCCCATTAATATCTGAGAAATAATGTAGAAGTAACATTATGCCTGCGATTAATAGTTTCGGAGATATGGTTCTGTGTTTGTGGAACTGCTGCTAGTCGGTCAAAAACGCCTCCTATAAATTCAAAGCACAAAAACGTATAGGCGTTTGGACAATCTTTGTAATTATCTTTGTTATTTGTGCGTATATGTTTTTAACTCTTATTATGAAAGCTGTATCATTTTTTGTAACTAATTTATTTCCATATGTGTTTTAGCAAATTTTTGTAGTATATTTTCCCTACTTTTTTCAAGTTTTGAAAGCGTCATATTTTCCAAAGCTATACCAAAAATCTGTATTCTCATTTGTAGGACACCAGCCTAATATAAACTCTATCCATAAAATCAAGTTTTTCGTTTGAATAGACGATTTCATAATCCGTTTTTCAGCAAATCCACCGTCTCTGACACTATACAACGTTCTTATTTCGTCAGCATTCGAAGAAACGACGAAATTTTAATTACTCAAAGTTTTAGTATTCACGACCGCGGGATCGGCCTAATTGGCGTGAGTTGTCATGGAGCAAGCTCTTTCAACGGGAATCATGAGTTCAGAATTACAGTTACAAACTTAGAGCCCCCGATAACGTTGCTTAATGCTGACTGTTACTGTTCAGGGATCACGCTGTAAGCTTACAGCGTAAAAAATATGTTTGTTAAATAATACTTTTCATTCAAAATATTTATGTCGCACTTTTCTATATTTACCTGTTAGTACTGCTACCTATATTTTATAGGCACGTCTCTCACTTTAACAGTGCTATTAATAAACAAGGTTTAGCGTCAGAGTAAATTTACGTTAAAATTGCAATTTTAGTTTTAGTCAAAATATATATTATACAGAGAATAAGCAAACCTACTGCCTTCTAGGAATAAATATGACTCCCGTAAATCCTCGTGCTAAGTTAATCTTTGCTAAGTCTCTGTTTAATTATATGAATTTTGACTAATACTAAGTGGAGTCTCAGCATAAATTTACTCCAACGCTAAACCGTGTTTATTAATAACACTGTTACAGGTTTAATTTTTCGACCAGGACACAGTACAGTGACAGCACTCCTTAAGGTTACCGGTGACATTAGAGTGGGAATGGAGAGTGGAAGAATAACATGTCTTGTACTTATCGATTTTTCCAATGCCTTCAACACGGTAAATCATGACATCCTTCTTGCTATGCTGGAATATCTCATGGTTTCTGACGATGAGTTAAAGTGGTTCTCCTCATATCTTCGGGACCGTCAGCAGTCTGTCCGGTTGGGTGAATCCTCCTCATCCTGGAGTGGGCTCGCTGCTGGCGTTCCCCAAGGCGGCATTCTTTCTCCTCTTCTCTTTTCAATTTTCATTAACTTCATTCCATCTAAACTTCAGTGCTCGTATCATCTGTATGCTGACGATTTACAGTTATATGCTCAGGAAAACGTCGATAGGTTGAACAATTCTATTGATGCACTAAATAGGGATCTTAACACAATACTCGTATGGTCTAAAAATTTTGGCATTCATGTACACCCGGCGAAATGTCAGGCTATACTTGTGGGCAGCCGCGTGATGATGAGTAGGATCGACAGCACTAATCTCCATTCTATCCTGTATGACGGCTCCTCAATACCGTTTAGCGATAGTGTTAAAGACCTGGGACTTCACATTTATGTTAATTTGAACTGGCAGACTCAAACGACTACAATTTGTCAAAAAGTTACTGGAACGTTGCGTGCGCTGTATCGCTTGAAAAACTTTCTACCTAGCAAAACCAAGGCAATGCTTGTGCAGACTTTAATTTTCCCCATAATCGACTATGGTGATGTGTGTTACCTCGACCTGAATGCAGATCTACTCAATAAACTTGACCGTGTTTTAAACAACTGCATGCGATTCGTTTTCAATCTCCGTAAATACGACCACGTGTCTGCCCATCGCTCCCTTTTGAAATGGATGCCTATTCGAAAGCGTAGAGATGTCCGTGCTCTAACAACCCTGTTTTCTTTGTTGCAATCACCTAACGCTCCAAGCTACCTCACTCCACACTTTCAGTACTTATGTAAGAGTCATACAAAAGACCTTCGATCTTCTTCTAATAGACTACTTATGTGTCCTGCTCATCACTCTGACATCATCCACTCTTCCTTTATCCTATGGAATGCACTCCCCACAGACATCAGAATGTCCGCCAGTCGGTTTGCTTTTAAAACCAAGTTGCGCAATTTAATATTAGATCAGGCAGAATCATAAAAATTGCTATCTCATTTCTAAACAGGCATAGTACTTATAAGTATGTATTGTATTTATTTTTATTATATATATGTATTATGTTATATATAGTATGTATGTTTGTGTTATGCTTATTTTATATTATTTTTTTTTCTCTCAAAGATTACATATGCACCTACTTTTATCCTTTATTTTAATCTCCACATCACCTAAAGGTTGACTGGCAGAGAATGCCTAAGGCATTAAGTCCGCCTTTGTACGATTGTGCATAAAGAATTAAATAAATAAATAAATAATTTAAATTAACAAACAAATTTATAATACCTTTAGAATTCTACACTTATGCGCTTAAAGTAAATTTAAATAAATTTTCATTCAATCATGAATGCACAAACTTGGACCGTACTAAGAGATCAAATGAGTACTCAAAAGTGACGTTACCCAAAGCTATAATAAAAGATCAGAGATACCAGGGAAGATTGTTTAATTTCTACTCGAGTTTTATTATAGAGATTCCATTGATGCTGTAATAATACATTCTTGTACATTTAAAATACTTAAAATTTCAACGGTCTTTCGTTTTTTAACAAGATAGTCTTACCTTAAATGATATAGGGGGTTAAAATATTAATTTGGTTTTATATAAAAACTATTTATTGTATAAATGCAATAAGTATTTAAAGTTAAAAAGATTTTAGATTACAAAAAATTGATTCCTACTTAATATTACAATACAGTTTTTCATATTATAAAGTAAAGCTAAGAATAAGTAATGATGATGATTAAAATTGTTTCTTCAATAATAATTAATATACTTAATCAAATGTAAAATTCACCATTCATTGTGTATTTGGTAATTTTAACTAACCAAGTATAAAACTCAACTATCCTTCTTTAATTCAATCATTTTCACAGTACCTGTGCTCGTTTCTGTGTCATTAGAAGACCCAGAATTCGAATGCTCTAATGTACTACTAGAATTACTTTTGCTTTTATCTCTCCTTCTATTATTATTCTTCAAGCTTCTGTTTAAGATCGAATTAGACCTTTTTTGCTTGAGTTTTACAGCTTTTTCTGGTGGACTCTGTATACTTTCTGTTCTATGTTGCAATTTATTTAGTCCAAAGTTTGGTTTTATTTGAGCTGTTTTTTCTAAATCACTAACGTCTGGTAAATGCAAATCTGTTATGCAAATATAGTCTTCCTTATTTTTAGGAACAATGAGACCAGGATTTATTTTTACCGGAATGATTTCTAGTTTCCTTTCCAAAACTGTTTCTGGTCCCTTGGAATCTAACATATGATCTGTCGGTGATTGTACTCCTCCCACAAGTTCTTGGATAAGTTTATCTTCACCAATATCATCAAGAATATCATCAATATCATCAGTATCATCATCAGAATAAAAAGATGAAAAAGATGTAATAGAGCCCGTTGTTTGTGAATGGAAATCATCAGGTAATTTTACTCTTGGCACATAAGTAGGAATTTCATTCTGACTTGGGGAAGGTTTAATAATAATTTTTGACTTGTTAGCGTCAGAAATGTCACTTGAAGCAATTATCACTTTAGGGTATTCTCTTTCTTTTTCAAGTGTCGTTTTAGTAAACTCAGGGTGATTAATATTTGATTGAATCTCAAATGACCTATTCAAAGTTTGATGAGCTTGTGGTGACAAAGAATCTATATTTTCATAATTTCTATGCAAGTCATCGGCTTCTATTATGCTTTTTGATGTTGAACTTCCAAATGACGTGAGTGGTTTCGAGTTTTTATATGCCAGACGCCGATCCAACGTTGTAGTTCGTGGTGGTGGTTGCGGTGGTACTTTTAAGCGATCTGATTGGCATTCAATACTACCAGCAAAACCTCTGAATGTATGTAAGGAATTTGGTTGTAATGACAATCGTTTTTGACATCTTGGCAAATCAGGAAGCACTTTAGGAAAGTTCCTTTTTTTTATTGTCATTAAAGCTTCTTCTGCAGTTAATGGTTCTTTCTTTCGATTTTCATCACAAGACGTTACATTTATATCGTTTCTGAAAGTGACTGGTGGTAAAATATTTATAAGTTGATTACCATTAACAGATTGTTCTTTTATAAGTTTTTCATAATTAACGTCTGTTACTGGATCAGACGTGGAATGTTTATGAGATATTTTTAAAGGCTTATCCTTTTCAACGGATAACGTTACAAAGTTAGTGTAAATTTTAGAAACAGAATCATTTTCGTTTTGTTTTATTAGTGTTAAATTAATATCAGTCTGAGTTTCATCATTAGTTTTCGTTTTTTGTGGCCTTATGTTTTTATTGGAATGTCCTTCTTCACTATGATCAAAAGATTTTGTAATTTCTATTGGCTCTTGATTTAGTATTGAATTAGTTCTCGCTGCTGGTGTAGCATCAACAGCTACAGAAACTTTTTTAGACTTGATGCTTTCAGATCCCTTACTTTTTATGGAATCGTTCGATTTACTAACGTATTTTGCTTTTGATGAATATTTATTACTTCCTATGGAAGAATGAGAGCCAAGAGCAGATGTTGATGTAGTTTTTTCTGACATGTGCGTTTTAGTACCATTGGAATTTTTTGACGTGATAATATTATTCATCTCATTTACTTTTAAAGTATCTTTCCTAGGCTTTCTTGTCTCAGATAAAAGCTCTTCAGATCTAGTGAAAGGTTTAGATACAGGCAGTTGTTTCTCATTATTCAATTCAGAATTAGATTTTCTAAGTATACCCGGAGAACATCTATGCATCATTTCATTAGTTATCCAATCTTTTACTTTAGTATGAGCATCCAAAGTACTAGTGGATAAATGTCGTCTTAGCTGAAATCGTTCTCGGAAACCACCAGAGTCATCTGATTTTGGTGTTTTACACGTTTCTGATTTTTTCTTCATCTTTTTACTATTGTTTTTAATTTTATTAAAACTCACAGATTTTATGAGGCTCTGTAAAGCACTTTTATCATCTTTCACACATTTTTGACCTATTACATCTATTTCACCCACATCAGCACGAGAATGATGATTCACTTCTCGGTGACGTAATCTCAATTTCCGTTTCTTGAAATACACAATGGAACAAATACCCACATTCACCAATAAAAATAAAACTCCAAGTGATATAACTAGCGTTATTGTTGCACTTGAAGTTTTTACAGGTAAGTTCATCTTTGGTTTTTGTGTCGAAGTATATAGCTCAACCTTATCTAATAAGTTCGGTGGTGGCGGACGTTGTGGTAAATGTTTGATTGATTGTATTTGACGATATATTGAATCGGTGTCCGTCCTGTAAGATGGAGGATTAGGTTTTAGACGACCAACAGGAAAATTGGGTTGGTATTCAAATTTAGGTTTTGTCTGTATTCTTCCAGGAGGGTTATAGTGAGGTCTGTCTACTACTTTTGGAGACCATATTTTACTTATGATATCTGTAAAAAGAAAATATATTATTCAAAATATATTATTATGAAACTTAGATTAAATAGATATTATGTATAAAAAAATAAGTACTATTGGTTCTATAAGACGAAAAAATATTTTAAACATACCTGAGCTTCTGTGTGTTGTTTTAGGCTTCTGAGTTGATGGTGTAGGCGTATAAGCAAACAATGGATCAATAACGTATCTCCTTATCTTCTTAGGAAGTGTCTCTAGCCAAAAATTGGTATAGTTCGATCTGTACAAACTACTTATACGTGGAGGCATATCTGTGAACAGCAAACAGACGAATATAGTATACACTTATAAATACTCGTATATAACCAAGAAAAATAAACATGACATGAATCAGTTAACGTAAAAGTAAAAATTTTAATTCTGGATTTTTTTGCCAAATTCCTAGATAATTCATGCGATAACTTAGTATCAATAATTTATATGAATGTTTTTATTTTATTTCTGTGACGTCATCAGCATAATTGGGATGACGACTACTTTTTGGTTGTTTGTCCGTCAAAGTCAAAGTATTTTATTTGCACAATAATATGTTTCTACTTTGGGATGTTCAACAAAGGCATGCAAAATTCAATAATAAAAAAAATCTATGTAAAACACATTCCACATATATTTTATCATTATATTTCATCTTACAATGCTAATGTTTAGATTCCATGTATTCTTGAGTCGAATAAAAGTTCCTGTCTAAAAGCCATTGATATAACATTTTTCTGAACATATTATTATTTATAGGCAGATCTATTAATTAAGTGGTAGTTTATCAAAAATCATAGTCGTGTAAAATACATTTACCTTGAATATTGTCAAGTTACACTTGGGTATTACAATTTTTAGGAATACTGTGTACATTTGTTTTTGTTTTGTAATTCATTATAAAATATTCGGGGTGATTTTGTCAAATTAGCACAGCTCCAATATCATACAGAGCATTCTTAGAACTTTTAGTTTTTTAAATAGTGGCTTACGTAATTTGAATGATGACGTCTGGTAGATTGTCGAAAAATATTAAACATGTATTTTTTTCTATAATTATTAAATTACCGCGATAAATTGAGTTAAAATATCACATGACGTCACGCTTTGGTACATTTTCTACAAAACTGTGACGTAGAGAGCCCCAACTCTTCAACTTTAATGCCTGCTATTTAAGCAATATCTTGTTTAATTGAAGTTAAAATAATAAATATCTAATATTTTCTATTATCTGACTGACAGACTAAATAGAATTTCCTTTTTTTTTAACCCAGTCGTCATCACTATTCCGACGTCAAAACTGACAGTCGCAGTTTTCATAGAAGCATCGCGATGTAAAACGCGATTAAAGTGGACATATGTCATCGACAAATCCGAGCAATGCGTTGCGCGTGTCGTGCGGGCGGTGCATGCGTGTTGAGGCAGTGGACGAGCACCATTAGAATTATGCAAACTACTAAAAGCGAAAACAAAAAGATTTTCTATTAAACTAACTTTATTTTATTTTTTACTAATTATTTCAGTTACTTGTTCTATGTCTGCCAAATGGCGTAGGGTTGAATTAAATAATGTTACTACGGGTCATAGCATGTAAAATTTTAAAAGACACCTACCTAATCTCAAATATGATTGATGCTCAACATCATATTCGGGCCACTCTACGTTATACTGATTCCAATGTTCCTTGTCCGATGTTAAGTATTTATTGACGCTCTGGGTATTAGGAGTTCTGAAACAAACCAAACAATATTAATTTTGTAAATAACTTACGTTTTGTTTTTGAGAAATAGAAGATGGCTTTAATTTGTCATTGTAACTACAGGTAATTCTAGATCACCTATATAGTGTACTAGTACGTTAATTTCTGAAGCTGAGTGACTTACATACTGATTTCTTCTAATACTTCGCTTTCGTGTCCCGGTTGGGTTAATATAGAGAAGTAACCACAGAACCACAGATTACTAGCTTTAGCTACTTAGTATCAACATACAAATATATAGTATTCTTTTTTAGTTAACTTACCCAATTTTAACGAAGTTGGTCCACAATCTCATAACAACCTCGCTGAGTAATTTCTCACTCTGCGTATAAACAACTGGTAAGTGAGTATTGGCTCCGCCAAGCGGTACTCCGAGGACGTAAGGAAGTTCTTGGCCGTGTACACTTTTATTTAACTGAAATCATATAAACTGCCATTAAGGCTCAACACATATTTGTAAAAACCAAATATATTATGGGTATTTCTATTGCATTTCTTATTTTCATAAATATACAATATTAGCTTTCCGCCAGCGGCTTCACTCGCGTGGTCTTGTATTATAATCTAATCTAAATCCGTTGCGTAGTTTTAAACATTTAAGCATACATAAAGATATATAGACAGAGAAAGCGACTTCGTTTTATACTATGTAGTGATTTATCCATAAAATGTACTCTTATCTTAACTGGACACTATTCGTAGCTTCTGTCGTTAATGATATGATCACCAATAAAACTGGTACTCGCTAAGCTGTAACATAATCCAATACTCAAAGACAAAGGTCCCAATAGTAAAAATAACAACAGTGAAAGAAATTCAAAACATATTGATGTTAGAGGAAAATAAAATCCTAAAAAACCCACATATAGTACTAAATCATTCAAAGCAACAACCAGGAGAAAGTAATACCTTTGTTACTACATAGAATCGGGAAGTTTCAAACAAACTCGGGCGCTTGTAAATTGATGCAGTATGTATTGTTACAGAGTGCAGCTGTACGATGTTTCGTCTACCCGCTACTAGATGGCATTACGTCGCTTTAGAATCACGCTAACATCGTCGAAACTAGGTGTGTCATATAGAAAGGGATGGGTAGAGTTTTACGATTGTTTATTTGGTAATGCCCCGTATACAAAACATTTTAGAAATGGTATCGACCCTCTATAAATACGCGGTGGAAAACCTATACCTGGCATTTTTTGAGCGTCATTAATAAAAAAGGTTTACCGTTGGAGTAAATTTACGATGAGACTGCATTTAGTATTAGTCAAAATTCATATTATTAAACACTCACTAAAGGTTAACCTGGTACGAGGTTCTTCAGGAATAATTTTTATATGATATTAGTATATCGGTGATAAGTATAGATTGGCAATGATGAACAAAACAACTGGAATATTAAAGAATTGAAAAATATGAATACTCTTTGAATAAATTATTATTCAATTGTGTTTTAACTTAAAATAGGGTTTAAATTCATATTATTAGCTATTTCTAATGTTAGTCAGAGGTATTATTCTATTGAATTCCTGCGTTAAATTTATTATCATTGGCAATAAGGTTTTGGTACTCTTAACAGTATATATTACTTTAACATTTCTAAACTGTAACGAATTTTATTATAAATACTATACAATTATGATTATGAGTCAAACTTTATAATTATTTATTTGTTTACCAATAAACAAAGAAAGTTATTGATTGATATTTGAGAACAAAAATATCTACTGATATTGCAATCTGACAATTGTTATAATTATATTTCATCAATTTTAGAAAAATATTCTTAGTAAAAATTGCTTTAAAAATCTACTTTTCGCAATCCGGGCGACTGCTCCAACCACTAAGCCACCCAGGACCTAACAGGACTGACGATTTTTTCAAGCATTTGTTACTTTTCGCTACTACAGAGCGTATTTTCATAAATGTTTAGGTTTAGGTAGTCCACCTAAACAGCAAAAAGAAATATTTCTTCAATATTTAAACTTTCTGACCATTTTTGTTAAACGAAATTCATCTGATAAAATATTTCGAACGTCGGGCTAAAAATTGTCGACTCTAAAGGTTGATGTTGTAAAAATGCTTCATATCGAATAGTGCACGGTTGACTAAGTTATTGTTGTTCGTATCTCTTTGAGAAGATATAAACGGTTAAGGGATGTATTGATCAGCGATGTAACAAGAGAAATAATAGAGATCAGATTTTGTATTTCAGTTTTCAGTCACTATTATTTTGAGGTTAGCAATAAATAAAATAAAGCAAAATAAATAAGATGGGCTGGTCACTTGTCAGCTCAGTTTAACTTTACTCAGTAAATGTAGATAGTAGTTGAAAACACCGTATTTACATAATGCAGGATTTACTTACTAAAAGTATTATATAATGTCTTTATAATGGACAATTAAATCGGTTTCGTTTGGTACATATAACAAAATCCTTGTTTTATTATGTAATGTTTGATATGAATCCCAGTAATAAAAAAACGGTGATAGATAATTGACATTTCTACTGCTCAAAGAAGACAAAGTACAAATGGCACTACAGAAAACTGAAAAACTTACTCGTTGTACTCTTTAATTTTTAGCTCCCACAGGTTCCACAGAATTGTATTAAACATTAATAAAATTCTTGTTTTATTATATGTACCGTTTGACATGAATCTGGTGAAGTTGATATCTCACATTTCAACTAAATAAAAAGACAACATACAAATGGTACTTCAAAAAGACTAAAAGTTACTAGTTGATTGTAGCATTCCATTTTATGTTCCACACCTGTTGCGAAAGTAAAACACTGAAAATCTTTTACAGTGTATCCGGATACCGTAGATAGAATGAAAAAACTTTGTACTAAATTCCTAACTTCTCACCAACAATGGTACACGTTGGATACTGGCAATTTTTTGAACTTGAAATTTATTTTTGATACTTTTCTACACTATTTAGTGGACTATTGTTATTTGTGTGTTATTGTGACATCGATCATACTCTCGTTTCGTGTGTCTCAAACAAAATATGACTTTGCCCAGTTTAGTAAATTTTGTCAATTGCACAAATGGTATCAAAATTAAGTTTTGATTACTTAGAATGTGATACTTGTTAATTCGTTTATGTGGTTCTATCTGCATGAAGATATAAATAGGTATCATTATCTACTACACTAGAAATAAGGTTGCCAACTTTTAACAATTATTTTCAGCCTTTCTTTTCTTTCTCGTGCAAAAGGCTGGGAGAACGGGTCATATCCTACCACGTTCACCAAGTTCCTTGATTGATGATATTAATAAAATAAGCAGAAAACAAAAAAGTAGGCAAACACATTCAGCAGTGCACTCGCCTAGTCAAATGATAGTTGCCGTGTGTGGCGTACTGTGTCCAGTCTGGTTTGGTACTCGAGACAGTTGCTTTTTAAATTGAGTATTGTTCTTACGTAGGTAGATATTTTATACTCACTTGTGCGTAGTCTGTGCTCACAGAATTATGTCCGAACACATAGAAGTAGGACTGGATGTTAGACTTTGATTGGTAGTTGGCAAAATGAACGACAGGAGACAGGGTTCTCGAGTCACTGAAGATGTTCAAGATCACGTCCCTGTTGGCTTCTACGCTCCATCTTTGTGGGTCCAGTTTTGATGGAGAATACCTGAAAATGAAAATGAAACTGAGAATACGAAAGTGGAAATGGGGGCATAAGCTGCTTAGTTTCTTTATTTAAAAAAAAATGTCCTATCGAAGAACTTAGCTTTCTACCATCTTCATAAGTTTACCGCTTGTGTTGGATCTATACTGTTCCAAGAAACAATTATACTGCATTATACTGCACAAAAACTATTAAAAGGACTATATTTATGTGTGAAATGATTATTTTACATCGCTAGATCTACTTTTATGACCAAAAGCTATAAGTATTTTAAAATTTCTTTGCTTAAGATCTTACTGTTTCAATATTTCTTTCAGAGCCTCTTCTTCGGCACCTTCGAAAACGACCTTTATGTACTTGGTAATAAAATCATCTCTTTGGTTCTCCAATATCCCTTGGTTTAACTCCAGTGCTCCGAATTCGTGATAGCTTTCTAACTCAGTCACTCCGATCAGCAGCTGATATCTAAAAGTTGGGATTAAGATATTTGAAGAGTCTTTTCACATTATTTGAAACAATGGGTGGTTATTACAAGACTGGGCGCATGCGCATTGTGTTTTAATTTTCAGGTGGAATATCGTGTAACGACAAAGTGTAGAAGGTGTTTTATGGTTATTACAATGTACTTCTTCAAAGAAATAATAGATATGTGGATGGTTTTATTAAGGTCTATTAAGTCTTACTTATGAAAGCGTGGAAAAAACTCACTTGCTCAATAGATTCGGATACGATTCCATAGTTTTCATCGGTTCACTTGGTATAAACGAACCAGCTACCGTCGGACCCAGGGGCGTCTCGAACTCGCGTGCAAGTATCTGCACATTTTTTATCTCCGATAACCTGAAGAGAACAGAAAAAAACTTTGAAATGAATTTAGTGTTGTTTACTTTATAGCACTTGATTACTAACTAAGATACTTCATAAATACAAGCACTCATCCTCTAACTCACAAAGCTACTTAATTCGTCAAGTAGTAAATTAAAACGAAACATTAGAAAGACTTAATTTAATTCAAGGAGCTTTGGCTAATTGACAATCATCAACATTTACATACATAATGAGAGTGTCTTACACGAACTGTATAAAAACAAGCAAGAATTTTCGTTAAGGGAACGTTTCCATTAATTTAATTGGTACAATTTGTGCTGACTCCTTCAAGTCATTTAAATTTATTAATCACTAGAATTAAGCCTTGTTGTCTGAGATTGATTAAAATGCTATTTAGCATTTTAATTATTTGTAAGTTTCTATTAATATAATCAGATTCGCTCTAAAATATAGAAATTGAGTAAGGTCAAGGTGGTGGTGTGTGCGCCAGCGGCTTCGCCGCGTTATCTAGTTTTAAGTCCAGAAATGAGAAAGTTCCATAAAAACTTCATCCCCTAACTGACCCCTTTAGGGGCTGAATTTCGTAAAATCCCGTCTTAGTGAGCGTCAGATAAATAATTCAGTTCAGGGAACATGCAGTTAATTGAAATGTCTTTTGTACATCGACATCAACAGAATCGACGCCTTGGTGTAAATATAAGGACAGAAAAGGAAAAGTCTTTACAGTTGCAGCGCTAGAGGAAGTTTATTTGAATATCTTACGGTTTCTTTTGCAGGCACGTCATCATGTCCTTTGAGCTCGGATTGCAGTCCAAGCTCTGTGCGACTTGCAGCGTGTATTGAGTTGGATCCTTTGTCATCGCCCAGTCTGACAGTGCAGATCCTGACATCAGAATCGCCCGATGAAAGAGACCTGTTAATAATAACATCGATTCACTCTACATATTGTCAAAGTCAAAGTCAAAAAGTATTATTTTGACTTTCAGATATATTTCCTTTATTATTTTCTTGGAATAAGAACATACATGGAAAACCGACCCTAATCACTTCGATGGCCCAGTGTGCTTTGGAAGACACTAATAACTACAGATTTAGTGAGAACCTAAAGCTTAACGTCTCTTGCGAAGCAGGAAGGGGAAAGATTACAGAAATTTTAGCCACTCATCCTACGACCAGCTCTGGCGAAACCAGGAGGAGGTTAATCCCGAGTAGTACATTAAATTTTCTCCTTAACAATAACATACATCAGCGTTAATACCATTCGATATGGGCGACAGCATCAAGAAACTGACACAAGCTGCTCCGGTGCCATGCCCCATAATGGTGACCGAGTTAGGATCTCCGTTCAAATCTTGAATGTTATCCTTGATCCACTGAAGTGCTGCGAGCTGGTCTAACAGACCGTTGTTCCCATAAACATGCTCTGTCAGACTTGGCTTCATGAAACCTGAAATTTAATTTAAAATATTGCAATATGCTTGCGAACTGACTTTTCGAGCCGATCGACGCTGACAGTTCAAATAATGAAACAAAAATTAAGACAACAGATAAATACAATAATTTACTTAGCTATGAACTTTAAAACGACTAGCAATCTGGATAGGAATAAGGATACAAATAAATTCACTGATTATGTCATGAAAGCAAACCAAAAGTGTACATGGGAGCGTCTAAGAGAAGCGACTCCATGGCACTATTACTTAAAAAGTTTTTTAAACGTCAAATTAAACCATTCTTAAAACAACCACTTTAGAAATATTTCGCAAAATTTATGTCTATCATTTTATTTATGGTAATTTAATAAATACGCAATTTTTCTATATAATTATATTTTACCCGAACATATGACTTGTAAGCCTATAATATATTAGTAATATTGTAACATACACATCAAAACTTTTCCTCTCCGAAACAAGTCCCTAAGACTTCAGTGAAATTTTCTGTCGAAACCTCTTTATGAGACTTTTCAAGTTGAAATGAAATAAAACTTAACCCCATTCAAAGCAAGCCTTGTACATATTCTTATGATAATAATCGATATTAAAGAAAATCAAGCTTGTAATATCCAGGGATATTCTTTTCGTATCAAGAGTGTTCCGTGGCCTTGAAGAAACTTTTCGGAGCGTAAAACTGGCTTAAAGTTCAACAAGTGAAATTTCTTTCAATATTGATTTAGGTCAGACCGGTTTCTTGAGTAAACTGAGAAGTTGGTTTTGTTAACATTAAAGGTGTAAATTGAACAATGCTGTGTCTATAAAGGATTTTGCCTATCAGATAAGTGACTGGGATTTGCTAGGATAGAAGATTATACACACAGTATAAAGGCAAATCCATTTTTATCGGTATTTGTGTCATGTATTTACGTAACAAAAGTGTATAATGTATTGAAATACTATGTTGTTATTAACAATTCCTGAATCTCGAATGTCTTCAAGTGTTTTAGTTGACATTCAGTGTTTGGCAATATATCAACAAAATTACTTTGAAATGTTCAATGGTGGCAGCATCGAATAAAATGAGTGAGTGATTCTCCTTATTTCGTATAGTTTTAAATTGACATCGTCAATTCTATTTCTATTATACTCGATTCCGCCCATAGAGAAGGCCTGTACCTTAATGACAAATTTATTTCTGAATGTCAGTTTGTGTTGTGATGCCGTATATTTTAAACGTTTTTTTTATCTCATCAGAATCAAAATCCCACTGCAAGGGCACAGGATTTCCCTATGAATGGAATCGAAAGGAATCGAACAGGAAGATCTAGTTAAAATGTTACCTAAAATTCCGAGTCTGAAGTTGATGGTGATGACCATGATGTTTCCGTAAGAGGCGAGTATTCTTCCGTCATACGGATTCCCCGAACTCCATTCAAAGGAATCGCCGTGAATAAAAACAAGCACGGGAAATCTCTTAGATTTTTGATCTGTAAATAAAATATTTTTTTATTATTATTATTAATTTAATATTTATTAATAATTTAATAAAATTTATCGATGCTATAATACGAATATATCTTTAAAAGTAATGAAATATGTTCAAAAAAATCACCAGAACTAGGTACCCCGAGATAGGATTTAAACCTTAAATATTAATGAAATTACGCTTACTAATAGCAAAAAGTAACAGCCGAAAGATATTACGATAAAGTTTTGATTAAGGTGAAAATTTTTTCGTATTATTATATTTCGTAATTTTTACATGTAAAATTGCAAGTTAAAAACATAACTTCACGCCACTAACGGGTTACAAGTAAATTCGACTTTATTATGAAAACGATTTCGTATTCTAATGGAGACTTTTTCAATAGGACTTCTTTGGAGTAAGAAACAATCCTTGCTGGGTTTCTTGCCCGTTCTTGTCAGTACAAGTTCTTTCTGTTAGACATCTAGCGCATCAATAGACCCATCAAGATTGAATACGTTAAATTGAATTTAAATCTCTATTATTACACTTTTATAACTGATATCAGAATTTAGTTTTTATGGTTTTTCGTGTAAAAATTGAAGCTAGTGGCGATAAAACATACAGATAAAATAGATAGTAGATATGTTGTATAGCGGCGTGACAGGAACCATATACTTACGCAGCAGAGTAAGGAATGAAGAGTTCTTATAGCGATACACAGGGAGTTATTGGTAGAACCTTAGGTTCAATTTCAATCGAGCGCTGAGGATCTACGGGTTACACTATCTTACAGATTTAATTAATCTTATAAAGTAAGTTATCGCTAACACATATGCGTATTATATTCAATTGACCAAAATTTTGGTGAATTATTTTCAACACATCTTATTAATTTCTTCTTGAATATAAATAGTATAATGATTAATCACCCAAATAATAGATATCTAGTGATAGGTGATTTTAATATGAGTCACATCATCTGGTCACCAACTGAACGTGAGAATTCCTTAACTCCAAGTGGATATGATTTGCAGGATGAGTGATTTTTGTAGACGAAATGTTAACTCTAGAGCTTAGGCAATATAATATCATCAAAAGTAGCTTTGGGGTAATTTTAGACCTTGTCCTGTGAACCGAGTCCGTATCTGTTCATGAGTGTAACAATCCTTTATGCTGCCATTTGCATCCAAATCGATATCGACCATTATAGTACCCTGAGGCCTGCGTCATTTTCTAAGTTTCTTATTCAATAAATGTGATTGCTATTTAATTAATAAGGAGCTACCTAAAATAGACAGGTTAAATGAAATTTCTTTTGGTTCATATACCGAAGCAATTAATTGTTTCTGTGACACTTTCAGAACCTTAAGAAATAAATTTGCACTCATGAAGCGTACTTTTAGTGGTTTCTATTCTAACTGGTATTCAGTGCCGCTAAAGAGAGGCTCAAATATTTAAGCAAATTTAATAAATACCGTAATCGATCTGACGAGGAATACTTTAAACCGTTACGCGATCGCGCATAAAAGTTAGAGAAGTTATGCTATATGAAATACATATATGGACTAGGTTGAACAGTCTATACATACCAACCCAAAGCAGTTTTGGTCATATGTAAAATTAAGGAACAATCGAACTCGTTCTCAAGCTTGTTAAATACTTCACTAATACCTTATGCATGGCTGAGTCTATATTCGAAGCTTTCTCGGATTACTTTTTTTCCACATTCTTAACACCATTTGTCAATCAAACCTTGCCTGTTGCTAACGCCCTTTTTGAAACGGTTTCGACATTAACTTTCGTATCGGTCGAGGAGAGGCACGTAGTAGAGTCGCCTACTAAAACAATTGAATCCTGCCAAATCAGCTGGGCTAGACCAACTCCCAGCTATTATACCAATATTATAAAGCTGAAGAGTTTGTTTGAACGCGCTAATACCAGGAACTACTGGTTCGAATTGAAAAAATAATTTTGTGTTGAATAAACCATTTATCGAGGATGGCTTTAGGCTATATAACATCACGCTGCAACTATTAGGAGCGAAGAAATAATGGAAAACGCGGACGAAGTTGCTGGCGGCCACTAGTGTTATATATACAGTAAGTCGTTCGATCGAATTAATCATGAGACACTTATTCTCAAACTTACGCGTGTCGGCATCAATGAAGATTTGCTTAGATGGTTTGCCACAAAGATCGAAGGCATGTCTCAGGTAGTAATTATAAACAACTACATGTCTAGTCGGGTTAAGGTCTCCAGTGGCCATCCTCAGGGATCGCTGATGGGTCCTTTACTTTTTGTTATATTCGTGTCTGACATCAGTCAATGTCTTAAACATTTTCGCCTGCCCTGTTTTGACGATGACATAAAAGTCTTCACACACATAAAGACACTTGATGATGCTAAGGCCCTACAGTCTGATAGAAATAGACTCGAACCATACTGTTAAGTTAATGACCTAGAGCTAAATCTGATAAAGCGCTGTTGGAATAAATTCACTCGTAAGTCAAACCTATTAAGATTTCACTACACACTTAAGGGTACGATATTGCAAAATCTACCTGCTATGCGGGATTTGGGTGCACTTCACGACTCCAAACCATTATTTGAAGCGCAAATAGATAGTATAGTCCCTAATGCATTCAAGTCACCAGGATTCATATTGCGTTGTGCTAAAGATTTTACCCAAGTGAAAACTTTAAAAATCCTACATCATGCATTTGTTCGAAGTATTCTTTAGTACGTAAGTCAAATCTGAAACCCATGCTATGATATTTATATCTGGCGCATTGAACAGATACACGAAAAGTTTGTCCGATTCTTATGCTATTAGAGCTATAACAGCTCTTCAGTAAGAAACATCATCTTCTACAACTCGCTTCATGCCATGATATTGAAATATATGAGATCATTTGTATTTATTGTCCCGATTTATTAAGGCACCCTTTGTTGAGAGTTCCTAATAAGCATTTGAGAAGTAACCCAATCCTACATCCCCTGGTACACACGAACTACAGACAAAACGAATTTTTCTGGCGCGCTAGTGATAATTTTAGTAAGTTATGTAATATTTTCAATTTTGAATAATTAAAACTAGTCCATCTAAGGCGAGAAAGGTGTTAAGCAACGATTTTTTCAGTTGAACACTAATTGTATACAAGTAGGCAACGCCTTCCTAGTTGCATGTGTAGACTTTGTTTCATATTTGTGAAGATCTGTACCTGGCTGTCTGCTTCCTATTCTTAATATTTTTTCTGTTTGGTAGCCGTTAGTCTTCCTATGATATAATAATAAATAAATATAATATATATAATTCTATCGTGTAATTATTCTGAACTGGCTCGTAATACTCTAAAATACTATATAAAGTAAGATTGATTGGTAGCCTCTAATAGCTTAAAGTACGGCTATTAGCTTCTAAAAAGGTTTTAGTCTTACGTAACAAACAACTTTAGCTCTTATTGTCAAGGAGAATAGTCTGATTTAAGTTGTCCGTTGTTTTCAGTATAAATGTTCTTTTATTTTAGTAAAAAAACTTTTATCAAATAAATAAGGGTAGTTTGGCATGTTCATGGCGGAAATACTAATTTTTTTAACACAGTAATTTAGCTAATTGTGATTTATTGTTAAAGGGTAAAAGAAGTTTCGATATTTTGCACAAATATTATATTTTGGAAACATGTTAAATGATGACCTAAAAATTTAAGATTAGCGTTTTGGTGATATCTATTTTATTTAAGAAATTATCTCAGAACGATATTAAGCTCATGGCATAGTTAGATAGATAAAATAATTTAATCTTCAAGATGGCGCCATCTCTAAGGTCTCAGGTTCGATTCCCGGTCGGGTCACTGTGCGACATAAGCTTTTCTATTATGTCTCCGGAGCCGAGTGGTTCGTACGCCGGTTTCAAGGTGTCGCCATCTCTGAGGTCCCGGGTTCGATTCCCGGTCGGGTCAATGTAGAAAATGAAATTTTCTATTATGACTCGGGTCTGGGTGTTGTGGTACCTTCGTTGTCTCAGATACTCCATAATACGGGGGCTTTAGCTAGTCATCTTGGAATCTGAGCAATGTACGTGATGTTGTTAAAAATTTATTTATTTATATTATTTATATTTATAATAAACGCTTAAAACTCTTTGAGATTGGAGTAATGCATGTGATATTATCTAATATTTATATATTATTACCATACAAAAACAACAAATGCATATCAAACATTTGTAAAGAATATTTTGTAGGTGTGATCATGTTTCTATGAGGTTTAAAACATTTTTAATTAATTATAAATATACAGGTAGCGTCATCTATCGGTTACTGACAAAATTACTCGGCTAGTTTCAGGGAAAGCTCTTAAGTTTTCACGGGGATACTTTCACGCGATGCTTTCACCTTCTTATTGAGAGTGCTTTCGCTATTTAGCAGTATTTCAGTGATATTTAAGTGAATTTGTAGATGGCGCTGTTCAACATGACCAAAATTTTATAAGCTAAAAATTGTAACATTACAATGGCCTTATAAAATAAATAAGTATGAGAAAAATATAATAATAAACAGAAAGCTAATTAGCAATTTCTAAATTTTATAACTTCGCTTTTTACTGTGATAACTTTTGGTGAAGCCCCTTAATCTATTCGCCTCCTAAATAACTCTATTTTTCTTTTAATTTCCCGAGTGCACCACTAAAGGAATATCCGGTGAGCTTTGGGGATCTGCTATGTCGTAGGGTGCTAGAAAACTATAAGGAGGTTGCATATAAATACTCAACCTCACCGCTAGTCGCTTCAACAGCATGACGGTATTATGAAGAAAAACTGCATTGTTCATTTGTTTTTTTTTTGGAAACGCTTGATAAAATATTGACCCGCTCGTTTACTTGAATTTTTATTCAACAATATAAGCGCAGAAGAGTAAAAGAATTATGGACAATGCGGCAGTCGCTGATTCGAGTAAGGGCTACAACATTAAGATTGGTCAAAATAAGTTTTATTAAAAAATAAATGCAGATAATACAATT